ACTCAAGGTCATCTGTTAGTATTCATTAACTATAAAATTTTAGTTAATAATGCTAAGCAAGCAATTGACATTCTGATGTTAGGATCCACTTCAACTATCTTAATCGAATTATTACATACCTGTGGCAATGTACTCTGGAGCTGCATAGCCATGAGTTCCCATGGGCCGGGTACTGATATGCGACTGGCCATTGATGGGACCCTGTTTTGCCAGCCCAAAATCGGAAAGTTTTGCATGGTATGCCTACAGATAAAAAGGAAAGGATATTTTTTTTTGGGAAAAAAAAATAAAAAAAAAAAAAGAGAGAAAAGGAATTGATCTTATTGTAACCGTGTAGAGAATATCATAATATACAAATTAAAATCTTTAGTACCTTTTTGTGTCATTAAGGGTTTCGCCAAATCGGTGTTTATTAATTTAAAAACTTTAATTTAAAATTAAATTTAAAAATATAAAACCTTACAGTGAGAATTCATTAATCCTATGATATACTTAAAAAATTAATTTTATGTTTGATTTTAAAGAAAAATATAATGATATATATATCATTTCATCTCCCATCCCTCCCCTCCTCTCTCCTTCACTTATTTGGTTAGATTAAAATATAAAAGAAGCTTAAATAAAATAAGAGAAAGTCCTTTTCTCTCCCCCCATGAAATCAAAGAAACTATAAATATTTTGTTGTCTTTTGTGCCAAATGCATTTACCCCATCCAGCAAAATGTTAGCAGCCTTGAAGTCTCTGTATATCACACTCTTCTCATGCGTGTGCAAGAAAGCAAGCCCCTCAGCTGCTCCAGTGACTATTTTAAGCCTTGTCTCCCATGGAAGGGGCTCTGCACCTTCTGCCATGAACAAAAATTTAACAATATTCAGAATTCGACGTCCTTTCTGGTTTCTTTCTTTCTTTTTTAATACAGTTATTTTTTGCAACAAAATTATATAGGTATTTAAATTTTTTGTATGGTTAGTTTTGAAAACACTTAGACACGAAGGTGATCTATTGAATTTGTTTTGTTTTACTAATATTGGAATTGAGGGATTGAACTCTCATTTTTAATATAATCAACTTTACATCTCACTTCTCGACCAAGTCCAATAAATATATATATATATATATGTGTGTGTGACTATAAAAAATAAGAGGTCTTAATGCTTAAGACTATTATCACAACTGTTGGTTTCATGAGTTTCAATTGAAAACTTACTTATTTGACAATTATAATAGACGTCCTAACGTTACAACGTCTTGATTTCAATATTTATATATATATATATGTATATATTAAAAAGAAAAGTGAGAATTCTTACTTCTGAACAGATGGTTTTCCAAGCTTCCCTTCTGCATGTACTCGTACACAAGAAGGAATTGGTTTTCCTCCCAACAATAACCTAACAACTTGACCAGGTTAGGGTGGGAGAATTTTCCCAGGAATTTAATTTCGGCCTGTATCCAGAGAAACATTTATGTCATCCCTCACGTCATGCAATTATTCAAAGTCAAATGTCAACATTGTAAAGCTCTACACACTAATTTAAAATGTGCTGATTTTATACATACTGTGTATATTTAAATAAAGTATACTTCTTTTCTGGGGCACAAGACAACTGT